TTAGTTACACATGGTTTTCAGTAAACAAGAAAGAACACCATCTACAAGAAATGTTTTAATACTTTTATACAACTAAAACGTAACAGGATTAAGAGTTTTTTTACTGCAGTATGGTATGCAACAATACGTTTTATTGGCTTAAAGTTCAGAAACAAAAATTATTTTCCACCGTGGTGTAAGTAATGGATTGATGTATAGCTTTAACTACTATAAGTTTTGCTGGTGTGCTATGAATTTTTATCCCATTAAGAGCTTCTGTTGTCGTACTGATAGTTCGCAAAATTTATAACATTTACTTGTCAAAGCGCTCAGTAACGAAATATACCAGATAATCTATATATATATCAAGGAATTTAGTGCGCACAAATTTTTCCTGAGAGGATAAAGGTAAATGCTTTTATATTTCATTTTTTAGTAAAAATTACTTTGTTCTACAACTTAGAAGCTTTTGAAGATGTTATTAATTAGATTTACAACGTTTTGGGTTGAAAATTTTTTCCATCTTTACATATAACACTTGTTAGGTATTACAATTTCGAATGGTCTGAAACCGAGTTAAATGAGAATTTAAATTCAGTACTTAAATAAAAGCTAATATGTATCCAATTTATGATATTTGCCAACAAGATTGATACACACAGTTTCTTCTTTAATACAAATATGTTTTAATATATAAACAACAATGCAATTTACAATAACAGTTATTACAAATAGTTATTACAAACAATGATTTATATACAAAACTTTTACAACTTACAAGCAATATAAAGTCTTCTTTCTAGTCTAGAACTTCCTTGATGTCTTATCGAGGGTTCACGATGAGCGAGTTAATTTCGAGTTGATGTAGATACAATTCAATTAGAGCTAGCTAGATCTGTGAATTTCACTCATCGCACGTCGATTTTTCTTACCAGTGACGTTAGGTAATGTTTTAATAAAAGTACAAATATCCGATGTGAATCCACTGAAGTTAAATGATTTGTAATGTTCGAAATTTATAAACGTTTGTGGTCAATATATCCGAAGTTCCCGATTAAGAAGCGTTGATCACAGTTATAACTTACGAAGTTTATAGCACACCATTTACATCAACCCATCGCGTTGGTTATATTTATAGGCGTGTGGAGAGTTTCTCGAAATTTCAGTTTTATGTAACAGTACTGACGCTAACACTAGTGTTTACGTACATACATATATTGTTGATTCTCACACTCGAGAATCTTCTACAACTTTAGAGAATAGGCGGAAGTTTCGCAATACATAGTTAACAGTATAAGTTATGTACATTTCAAAATATATATTTAATTTAAGCAAAAAATCGATTTTAAAATAAATATATAATAATAAATCCGTCACACACACTTTATTGAAAATGTGAAAATCCAGTAATATTTTATTATTAATATATCGTAAAAACTATTTTTCAAAAGTACCTTTATCGGTAAAGAAATATCTATTTTACTGTCATTATTCTGAAGCATTGACCTTGTAGTGTACTATGCCATGTAATATCAGGTAGTAAGTGGTTTGAAATATTGATAATATAGTGTACTATGTCGTGTAATATCAGATAGTCAGTGGTTTGAAATATTGATCTTGTAGTATCCTGTGTCATGTAATATCAGATTGGCAGTGATTTAAAATATTTATCATGTAACGTACTATGCATGTAATATCAGATACTAAGTTCTTTGAATTTTGATCATGCAGTGTTCTGTGCCATGTTATAGCATTTAATTGGTGCTTTTATTTTCACCTTCATGAACAGGACTGTTAATATATACCTAGGTGCTTCTTAGTTGTTCATTATAACGGCATTTCATTGTGGTATTATTTATTTATTTATTTTTGTACCCTAGCGACGATCCTGACAAGTTTTCTTTACATCTCCAAGAGAACGGCTCTGATTTCAGATCGTTTTCTGATAGCACGTACGAAGCCACTACGGTAGACCTAACAGACACCGTAGACCGGCCACTCATCGCCTGAATCTTCATTCATTCTTGGTTTTCCTTCCGCCTCACATCTTCGTCCCAGCTGATTCATCAGGTCATTTTCTATTTTCAAAACCTAATAATTATTTGTGTGCATATGTTTTGAATGAAGCTCAACCGATAATAATAACTCGCAAAATAAGCATCAAGGAAACATTGCACTGGAGAGAAATAATTTTCAAATGAAAATTAGTTTTTCACTAGATGTGTTTATACAAATAAGTTGCTTCAATAGTTGGGTAATTGGACGATGTTTCAAATTTCTCTCGTATTGAGGAATAGGGGCAAATTCATGGTTGAATTTTTAATCCTGAGTCTGTCCGAGTTTTTAAACTCCTGGCAAGGCTCGATCGGAGTTCCGGGGGGGGGGGGGCTTTACAGATAGACCTAAGCCCGGGTACAGACAAGTCTTTTTATGTTCAACCATGTTTGACGTCTGAATTATATGAAAATCAGATCCGACCTAGCCCGAGTACATCACGTTTATATAAATTAAGGTCCGAACGAATTCAGTTTCAGACTTCTATTGAAAAAACACACTGGCGATCCGAAATGTCGACCAGTTACTTAGATTTCTAGGCTAGCTTCCCGTTGAAAAATAGTTTTAAATACAAATTTGCAAAATAAAGGAGAAGAACATTAACGAGATTACCACTGTCCCTATCTACTATCTAGCGAAACCACAGCCAAGGGAACGGGCTTGAAAAAATTTACTAGGTATAGTTTTAAGAATTTCTAGGAAAGGAAGGAAAATTGTTAAAAGTAAAAATTATCCTCCAAATCATATGCTTATTTTAAATTTGACTTCCTTAAAATGTGTGCTGTCTTTCAAATACGTTAACCCGATTAACTTGAATAGATGATGTATTTTGTTAATATTAGAGAGAGAAAAAAAAGAATACAGTTTATAATACTAGGAGTAACCTACATACTAAGCCTACTTGGTTAATCTCAGACTTCAGTTTGTGTATGAGATTAATCAATTCGGCTCAGAGTATAAGTTACTTTTAAATTTTAGTATTGTAAATCCACACTCCATCATTCCATTCAAAAGATAAGTTGTCAGTTTCTCTAAAACATTTATTATTCTACAGTTTCATAAAAAATAACCGTACAAAAAATTGATGTTTTCTTTCGCAGATGTTTTAATTTCTGATTCTTTTTTTTTTTACATCGACATTATTAATTTTTGAATACATATTTGCTTATGTCATTTGTAAATCAAAGTATCACATAGCGAAACGCTTGTTTTACGAGATGAATTGCTTGGAAGAGTCCACGGTTCAAGTAAAAAAAAAATTATCTTACTATGATAAACTGGATTATAAATATTATTTATTTTACATTTTTCTCAGTTTGTAACATGTTTGTTTAAACGTTTATTGGGTTAATAAATTGGTTATCAATATATAGTGATTTCTGACAACATCTAGTTTATTTAAAGTAGTATCGAGATTGCTATTTATTACACTATATCTGAAATCATGTAATAAAGTAATATCTGTAATATTATCATGAAACAACTTTGCAATCTGTATTTAATAAAATATATATAACAACTTAAGAACTTTTATTTCAATTTACATTAAAGTTGACTATTGAGTATTTGAGCTATACCGATGTTTTTCAACTGCCGTTTTGACTTTGTTGTATAACATTGGACTATTCTAGGTGTAAGCTTTTATACAATATTCTGCAGGTTTTGTTAAATATTGATGTTTATATAGTTGCTGTTTACTGCAGCTTTCAAATTTACATGTGCTGTCTTTGTGAACGTTTATTTAGAATATAACCAGAAACTTTGTTTTAAACTCTTGTTCATAATATTTGTATTTGTTTTCCATGTTTGTCGTCTTACCGTTGTTAAAATTGTTTAACTACTCACAACTGTTTATATTTCCATTTTATAGTGACTGTTTATACCGTATTTAATTGAATCCAATGTACATCCGCTATGCATCAGTTTTTGTGGTTAAATAAGATAAATGTTCTTCCAGAAGTAATACACTAGTGCAAACAGTTATTACTTATGAGTCGACAAAAACAGATTACACCAAACGAGAAGGTTCAAAAATTGTATAGTCGAGCTGATACTAATAAATTTGTTGCAAGTAAACAACCATAATATTTGTGACAATTTCGACTTTTTTTTTCTCCCTTTGAATTTTTTTTTACTTTTTCTTTTTTACATTTTACTCTGCACCGCCATATCGAATTATTGGAATAACAGTATCATATCTGTCCTACATATTTGTTGTTCATCATAATTTATTTCGCTACCATTTGTTAACTGCTATTTTTGGCATTTCCATATCAGAATGGGTCGAGCGTGGCCAAGTGGTTAGTTTGCCATATTGTGGATCCAAGGTTCACGGTTCGCGTCCATTTGCTGCAAAATCACGTTCCGATTGTGTTATAAGAGTGACGATTAGAGTTGGCATTTCCTTTGATCTATCAGCTCAAAATTGGACTAGTGCAGATGACCCCTTGCGAGAATATGCAAAACAAACCAAACTTTCAAACATTAATGATTCCTAACGTTCAATGCATATTCTTCTCACGCATGTATTTTATAATTTTATCGACGTTAACCTATTTTATCATTACGCATTTGAAAGTTTGTAATTTTTAGTATTAATTATCAAATAATTACATCGTTATTTTACTCACATTTTTTATTTATTAACATAGGAATATTATTTAATTATTCCATATTTCTTATCAGTATTTCTCCGTTCAATTTTGACTCGCTTTATTCATTAACAACGAACGCATCTCTTTCATTATGGGTTTTACTCAGAAATAGAGATTTAATAATTTCAAATAATTTAAGAGCTTTTTTGTACTAGTATATAGTTCTGTATAAATAAGTACTTATGACCAGTCGTCATCATAACTGAGAGAAAGTCAATCATAAAATCATAATAAAATATTCAATAAAAAAATAAGAAACAATCTGCTGTAATTATGACGACAAGTATCGACTGTTCAATCAAACTTGTTTAAACTCAGCTTCTGGTTGAACTCAATATGCTTACACCAAACTGTTAAAAGGGAAATTATGTTACGTATCCCTTATGCAGTGATGATCAATCTTCATAAACAAATAGAAAGCTTTAGTGATTTCAAAGAGTGATATTTTTTTCGTTAGTAGAAGATAACAAGAGTTGTCTTTGAAATCGTATCTAAATTTTTATAAAATCCTTTATTTTGAATTCATTCATTCTTGTATAATATTTAGTTCTATTTTCGTTTGTTTGTTGTTAAGCGACATTATGGGATATTTATGCTATGCTCTTTACGAGCACTGAAACCCGGTTTTTAGTGTCGAAAGTCCACAGACCTTCCGCTAAGCGCCCAAGTAGCTCAATAGTAAGTTTGAAGGTTTATAACGTTAAAGTCCGAGTTTCGATGCCTGTGGTGTGCACAGCACAATTAGCCCATTTTGTAATTTAACTACAAACAAACTTACCAGTGAGCCACTGAAGGCGGGGGGGGGGGGTAGTTCAATTAAATTGAATGACGATAACAGCATCAAATCTAATGCAAAATCACTGGTTGTCTAAGTTCTTCTTGAAAACAAAAATATAAATACAAATAACTTTACGTGCAACTCTTGAAATTATTTTACTTTGCTTTATAATTACTAATGTTGTTGAGCTTTCCTGTAAATACCGGTTCATGTTCTATCTGTTTTCGAATGCATCAATATAAATAAACATGCCGCCACCTAAACAAACTTTGTAAATTGTCAGCTTCTGATACGCCTCAGTTTGATTTTTTGTTCGTAGATGTGGACGTCCACGTTTACTTCCAGTTGTGATACATATTTTTGTCTATGGTTCAATCAACCTCCAGCATTTTACAAATACTGAGGTGATACCTTTTACCTTAACTGTTTTCCTTAAATATATGTTGTTTTTGTATCACAACTTACAAGCTAAATTTAAACTCGTAAATATATCTTTTGTTCAAATTAGTGTGGTGAACACAACAATGCTGAGGAAGTCAGAAACTGAAAGTTCGTCGTATCTATAAAATATCTTCTAAAAAATCATTCCTTTAGGATTCAATTAATAGCTTTTTTGCATTATAATTTGGAAATATTTGAAGATAAAGCAATATATATTAAACTTGCTTTTTTGATTTAATTACTTGGGCTTTTGTTTGTTGATAAGAGCAAAGCTACACAATGGACTATCTGTGCTCTGTCCATTGCGGGTATCGAAACCCGATTTATTGCGAGACTTATCGCTGAGCCATTGGGGGGGGGGGCTAGAATTTGGAATCGTAACGTCTTCATTACTTATTTAATACTGGAGAGGGTCCCAGAATAAAAATACATTAAATGCAAAAGAAAACAGCTAGAAGTGAGTCAAGTTTATATATATATATATAAACACATTTTACCCACTTTAAGCTGTTTCGTCTGATGTTTAATCTTCAATACTTGTGTATCTGCCATGAACGGGAAAGTGGCTGAGTACCTAAACCGGAAACCACCATAATCTTCATCTCCAAGTTCGTTCCCTTGGTAACAGTACATGAGAACATGCTTCTATAAAATGACCACATTCCTATACCTCTAAATTCAGACAACAGAAGGGATGATTCAAGCAAAACCATAGCCCATAGCTTTGGTGAAAATTAATTGAAAATTACACCAAAACTTTATTTTCAAAATGGCAACACACTTATAATTGAAATTATTAAGTTCAGAGACCAAAACAAACTTGTCGGTCAAAAATAGGAGATTAACCTCTTCAGAAAATACATATCTGTGTAAAAATGACATTTCTACTGAAAAACTGCGTTCACATTCTGGTTATAAAAATCTGGAGCCATTAATTACACATGCGAATCGTTTCGGGATTTCTGAGAGAAACAAATCTACACAGCGTGGTCACAAGTAAATAGACACCACCTTTTGAGAAAAAATGAAAATTTTCAGTCATATTCACATGAATTGATATATTTATAATTTAATTAATATCTAGTAGATCTTCCTTTCGCTTCTTGGAGTTCGTTGATCCTTTGGGGCATCGTGAAAATCATCTCGTCAATTTTAGATTGTGGGATTTTCGCCCACTCTTGCTTCAAAACTTGGATTAGATCGCTCTTCGAAGTTGGTTTTTGTTGTTGTTTCTTGACTTGCCGGTCGAGTATGGCCCAGAGGTTTTCGATGGGGTTCATGTCAGGAGATTGGCTCGGCCAGAGCAACTTCTGGATACCATTTTCTTCCTGCCACTTTTGGGTGTTTCTAGCAGTGTGACACGGTGCTCCATCTTCCTGGAACAACGTTGTGTTCTTGTTCACGAAACCCGAGGAATAAAGTGGCAAGAGTCTTTCCTCCAATATTTCGACGTATTTCGCAAAATTTATGTTGCCAACGCACTCCACTAAGCACGATCTCCACCCAACCCAAACAGCTCCCCAAACCATCACGCTAAAACTACCATG